GCAGGAGGTGGAAAGAAAAGCAGGAGTACCACCTTACGCTCGTGTACTGAAGGGGGGCGGCACTAGGGAGCTGCGCCCCCTGGTCACCAGCGAGGATGATGAGCCGCCCCCTCCCATCCCCCCCAAGAAGAAGGGTCTGAGAACCATCTCTCCCCAGCTGGACAGGGACCCGCCTCGCCCTCCACGACACCTCAAGCCTCGCCCCCGCAGGTCTCTCCTGTTGATCAACGGTGAGGTAGGTCCTTCAAGGCCCGCCAGGGGCAGCAAGATTTACACTGCTGTCCAAGTTATCACTCCAGACCCGCCCAAGAGGCACTCCAAAGTAGTGCGCATTGAGGACCTCGCTGCCCACATCAAGGACGACCTCGACGCCCACATCAAGGACGCTCACGCACCCCTTAAGCCATCCAGGCACGCCCTAAATGTCCCTCGACGTCGCAAGAAACACAAGTATGGGAGAGACGGGGAGGAAGAGGCGCTACAGACGGTGAATGACACAGAAGTCTCCATTACTACCGACTTCGAGAATTACCAGAATGTTACGTTAAGCCAAGATGGTCCACGCCCCGTCGCCCGCACACGCCCGCGGCCCCTCCCTCCGCCCCCTCCACCACCCAAAAAAGGCAAAATACAACAACATCACCAGCAGAGACTACAACAACAACAAGTACTAGACGGGCGAGTGAATCAGGGCTACCAACCCAAAGGGGCTACTGAGAACGGGAGTGTTGGCAGACCTGCTGGAGGGGAGGATCAGGGTGGGTACCTCCACCCAGCCAGTCGTCCCTCGGCACACGCCGGGACTGGTCGTAGTCGTCCAGCTACGCTCGACACCGACATCGACGACAACTTGAGGACCATCGAGTCGTCCTTCGCAGCGCTAGACACTGTGTTGAAGTCGCTGCAGACATACTCGAGAGCCTCCCCAGGCAGGGCTGGGGTGAGGGCCTCCGAGCAGGACCTACCTCACCACCTTCCTCCCTCCACCTCGCCTACCTCCCCATCACCACCGACAACAACCATAGCATCACCAACGGCCCCAACAGCATCACCAACAATCACCACAATATCACCAACAGACTCCACGACATCAACATCAATCTCCACAGCATCACCAACAACCACAGCACCCTCAACAGTCCTCACAGCATCCCCAACAGTCCTTACAGCATCGCCAACAATCCTCACAGCATCCCCAACAACCACAGCATCGCCAACAGTCCTCACAGCATCCCCAACAGTCCTCACAGCATCCCCAATAGTCCTTACAGCATCGCCAACAATCCTCACAGCATCCCCAACAACCACAGCATCCCCAACAGTCCTCACAGCATCACCATCAACAGCCTCTGTTCCCACAACGATAGAAACGGTATTAACGGCATCTCCAACAGTAGCAACAGCATCAACAGACGCAGAAGAAACAGCATTGACAGCAGACAAAGTGAAAGCAGAACAGACAGCAGTGAATTCTGCCTTGGGAAAAACAGTGCAGGAGACCGAGACACTGTTTTCACGGTCCGAATTTGAAGTCAGTGAATCCAAAAGTGTCGCTGAGGAAGCCAAAAATGCTCTCGAAACCAGTGAGGGAGTCGAAACCACGTCCATAGCGGTGAAAACCAGTGACGAGCGAGTGAAAGACCCTTCCGGTGAATCCAAAGAGGAGCCTGTAAAAGTCAAAGTTACCCCAGAGACGACAGTGAGGTTTCTGGAGGGGAAAACAGTGTTCGAAACCTCTGTAAATATCAGTAAAACCTCTGTAGATACCAGTGAATCCTCTGTAAAAGCCAGTGAATCCAAAGAAAGCGCTGAGGAAGTCAAAGGCGTAGAAACAAAAGCCGATTCGGGTGAAATCAAAGGTGAGCCTGACTCGTCCGTAGAGGCTGAGGAAGGCAAAAGTGACTCTCTGAGAAGTGCGGAAAAGATCGAGGAAGCCAAAAGGGAGCCAGAGGAAGTCAAAGTCATTCCAGAGGTGGCCTTGAAATTTGAGTTGGGGAAGACAGTGTTTGAAACGACGGTGAAAATTGGGGAAGTCAAAGAGAGAACTGGAGAAGACAAAATCACTATAGACACCACTGTGAAAGAGGAAGCCAAGTCTGAGTCTGGGGAAATCAGCCTTGACGAGGCAGGACGTGATACTGGAGAAGCTAAAACCGATGAGGAAGTCAAACTCGAAAAAATCAAGGCAGAAACAGATGAAGAAGCTTCAGCAAGTCTTGTTTTAGGGGAATTCAACGTGACTGGCCTTGAAGTCAAAACAGTTAAGGAAACAGTTACGAAGGCAGAGGAAGACAAACTCCAACCTGAACCGACACTGGGAGTTGAAGACAAACCTGAAGACGAGGCCGAGGATAAAGTCAAACCAGAGACGGTGAAGCCGGTGGAATTCAAAGCTTCCGAGGAAGTCAGTGCTGTAACAGACACAGCCGTGAAATTCCAAGAGGGAAGAACACTCTTTCAGACGACGGTAAAGATTGGGGAAGCCAAAGAAGTCAAAACCTCCCAGGAGAAAATTGTGGAAGCCGAGGAACCTATACCTGGCCATCAAACATCAGATGAAGTCAAACTTGAGCCTGAGGAAGTCAAAAAGGAGACGGCTGTAAAATTCAAAGAGGGAAGAACGCTGTTTGAAACTAGGGTCCAACTTGTGGAAGCCAAGACTACGCCAGAGGTAAGTGAGGCTTCAGATGAAGCTCGATATGTTCCCGAGGAAGTCAAGGTAGCTTCCGAGGTAGAAGAGGAAGTCAAGGTAGCTTCCGAGGTAGAAGAGGAAGTCAAGGTAGCTTCCGAGGTAGAAGAGGAAGTCAAGGTAGCTTCTGAGGTAGACGAGGAAGTCAAGGCAGCTTCCGAGATAGACGAGGAAGTCAAGATAGTGCCTGAGATAAGAGAGGAAATCAAGATAGTTTCCGAGATAGATGAAGTCAAGATAGTTCCTGAAATAACAGAAGTCAAAAGTATTCCCAAAGAAGCAGAGGAAGTCAAAAGTCCTGAAGAAGCAAATGAAGTCAAGGGTGCTCCTGAAGAGGTAGAGGAAGTCAAAAGTGCTTCTGAAGCACAGGAAGTCAAAAGTGTTTCAGAAGAAGTAGAGAAAGTCAAAAGTGCTGAAGAGGTAGAGGAAGTCAAGAGTGTTCCTGAAGAAGTAGAGGAAGTCAAGAGTGCTTCTGAGGAAGTAAAGAGTGCTCCTGAAGTAGAGGAAGTCAAGAGTGCTCCTGAAGTAGAGGAAGTCAAGAGTGCTCCTGAAGTAGAGGAAGTCAAGAGTGCTCCTGAAGTAGAGGAAGTCAAGAGTGCTGAAGAAGTAGAGGAAGTCAAGAGTGCTCTTGAAGTAGAGGATGTCAAGAGTGCTCCTGAAGAAGTAGAGGAAGTCAAGAGTGCTCCTGAAGAAGTAGAGGAAGTCAAGAGTGCTCTTGAAGTAGAGGAAGTCAAGAGTGCTGAAGAAGTAGAGGAAGTCAAGAGTGCTGAAGAAGTAGAGGAAGTCAAGAGTGCTCTTGAAGTAGAGGAAGTCAAGAGTGCTCCTGAAGAAGTAGAGGAAGTCAAGAGTGTTCCTGAAGAAGTGGAGGAAGTCAAAAGTGCTCCTGAAGAAGTAGAGGAAGTCAAGACTGTTCTTGAAGAAGTAGAGGAAGTCAAGACTGTTCTTGAAGAAGTAGAGGAAGTCAAGACTGTTCTTGAAGAAGTAGAGGAAGTCAAGACTGTTTTTGAAGAAGTAGAGGAAGTCAAGAGTGCCCCTGAAGCAGAGGAAGTCAAGAGTGCCCCTGAAGCAGAGGAAGTCAAAAGTGTTATTGAAGAGGCAGAAGAAATCAAGACAACAGGTGAATCCAAAACTGCGCCTGAGACAACCGAACTCAAAACTACCTCAGAAACAGTGAAAAGTGAGGAAGCCAAAGTCGAAGGGGAAAAAGATATTGTGGAAGCCATAAACGCTCCACTAAACTCGTTAGAAGTCAAACCTGAAAACAGTGAAGGCGCTACATATACACTGAAAGCTGATGAAGTCAAAAAAGACCCAGAGGTGATCCCAACTGTCGAGGAAACTGCTGTGAAATTCAAAGAGGGGAAGACATTAATTGAAACCACGGTTAAAGTTGGGGGTTCGGAGGAAGGCAAAATTGAACCGGAGAGAAAGGGTACTTCGGAGACACGTGTGAAGGCTGAGGAAGCCAGGATACAAGAGCCGGTGCCTTCAGTGGAATGTGAAGGGGAAACGACACAGACCGTGGAGGAAGTTAAATCAGAGGGCGGAGACGTCAGCGGTGAGCTTCAGACGCTATCCACGAGTGAGGAAGCCAAAGTCGAACAGGGAGAAGTCGAGACTGAGCAGGGGGAAGTCAAGGCTGAGCAGCAAGGAGCCAAGGGGGCTTCACCAGCTGCCAAGAGAGGAAGGACTGTCTACGAAACACTCTACCAAATTGAAGCTATCAAGGAGAGGAAGTCAAAAGCACAAGACAAGGTGGAAGACAGCAAGAGTGTGGAGGCTGGTGCAGCGGACGTGGAGGCTTCGCAGGCAGAGGTGGAAGTAGCAGACGACGCAGCAGGAACGACAGGACTGGAGGCTGGTGTAGCAGATATTGCTAGTCGCCTCGAAGGTATTCGTTGCACTCTTGAGAGTGTCATTGTTAATTTTCCCCCAGCTGCTGGTACTTACCTCTGTCCTCTCCCTAACGCCACGCCTACTACCCTCCCTTCCCCTGCTGACGCCACGCCTTTTAAATTTCTCCATACTGAAGCGACGCTCCTCCCTTCAGTTTTAAGCGCCCAGCCTGCCTCTTCTAACTTGGCTGCGGACAGTTTAACCCCTGCTAACACATTTGCGCCGCCCACCGGTGACCACACCCCCTTCTCTCCAGCTCACTACCAGCCTACCAGTTTAGAACCAGTAGTGGGGGAGAGATCAGCGAGGTCTTCGTCACGGGATCTCCCCAGAGCACCCTCATTCAGCCACCAGGGTGGGTTCAGTGTGTGTTTGTTGTGTGCCCTAACCCACAGTGTGTTAGCCAGTAGTCAAGTGCTTGCGTTTAGTACTGTTTTTGTTCTTACTAGATACACTAGTTCATACGTGAGGACACTAGTGCTTGGAGTGACGTGAGTGTTCTTGCTACTGTCATGCGGAGGGGTGAGGAGGCAAGCATGTGTCAACACACAAACCACCGTCCACCACTATATTCACTATAGTGAGTCTGTATGACCAACCAAGCCCAGGCGACAGGTCTTGTGGGTGTGGCCTCGGCGTGGTCATCGCGGCCTCTTAAAAATGCCACGGACGGAGATAACGTGAGGGTGTGTGGAGAGAGGGAGTATAGTGATAGTGAGGTGTCGGGTGGCTGTGACAGGCCTACGACGTGTCTCAGACGCGCCGTCCGAAGCGGCAGCGACTCTGGCATGACCTCAGAGAGTGAGGATAACTCATCCTTCTGTAGGAGGAGGTCGCTCGCCTCAATCTTTAGTTCTCTAGGGAAGGGTGGAAAGCAGAAGACAGTGACGTCACCCAACAGGCCTCGCCGGAAAGTGTGTGATAAAACGAAGAGTCAGTTTTATGTCGACCTCCCTAGTGATACTACGCTCTCCGACATCCACACGAATAGCAACCACGCCCACTACACCCACACACAACTCTCAACTTCAGAGGGTGGGCGTGAGAGAGAGTGGCAGCCACAGGCGAGACAGAGCAAGAGCCTGCACCGGGAGTGGCGTGTGAGAGGCACTTATCAGGAGGTCCAACCCACAACTTCAGGACTTCACACAGAACATCAGGTGAAGCCCAAACCAACGGGATGGAGAAGTAAGACTCAGCTGGGAGTATTAGTCACAGCCGAGGAGTCACTGCGGGAGTCGCCAGTGTACAGACAGAGAGCCTTCTTAGCCCAGCACGACAACAGCAGACACGACGACACAGATTCCACCATGGGCCTCGGATTCTCTAGTAACAAGGGTCTCCATGAAGCGACCGGTCACGATGAGGCACAGACAGACCTAAACACTCACACAGTAGCTGCCAACGTCACACAACACTACGTCAGTGTACTGGCAGAACTGACACAAAAATATACCTCACTCCTCTCCGCCCCTAGGTTTTCCTGTGACGCCCACATACGCCACTCACAGCCTATCCACACAGATGACAGAGAGGCAACAAGAAAAGAGTGTGTGCTTGAGGATGACCAGTATGGGAACCCAGGCCAACAGCAGGCGTGGAGTGCGACATGGAGAAGTAGTGTGTTAGGGAAGACGGTAGACGGTGTGGAGTATGGTATCCCAGTGGAATATGGCGTCCCAGTAGAGCATGATATTCCTATAGAGCATAGTGCCCTTTTAAAACTTAGTGTCCCTGTGGAGTATGGTGACTGGTTGCTTATCTCCCCTCCTGACACACCACACAAAAATTTTGATGGCTCTGAAGACATTAATGTTAAGTTTTGTGAGCAAGGACTGGAAAACGATGGTCTGACTAGTGTTGAGACGCGAGTGTATAGTGAACGGACGTATAGTGACCAGTGTAAAGGTGATAGTGAACTGACGCCTGATCAGTGCAGTGGTGATAATGAACGAACTCGTGGAGATGAGAGGCGCGATAGTGAAAGTGATGATGCTCGAGGAGTGAAGCATAGTGAGGCTGAGAGGGAAGCCAAAGTGGGGCCAGAGGTGCTCAGTGAACACTCAGCTTCACAGTTGCTTCCCTCAGCCGTCAGGGAGGTGTTGTATGAGGCGTGTGAGAGAGTCTCCGAGGAGGGTAGTGTGGGAGGGGACGTGCTGTGCCCTGGTGGTGGTGTGAGGGAGGGCGAGGGTGGACGTAGTGACCTTGATACTTGCCCCTCGCCTGGGGGTGATGTGACGCATGTCTCTACTAACCTACTCACTGCCAGCCCTGACTTGACTCCTACGGCCAGCCCAGACCTAACCTCTCAAGATAAGCGTGACAGAAAGATTTTCCTCATTGCTCAAGAAGTCATGACTTCCGAGAGAGTGTTTGTTGATGTTCTCAAACTGCTGAATGTTGATTTTCGCCAATTTGTGTGTGAGTGGCAGGAGGTGGGATGTTCCCACCACCCGCCACTCCCTCTTGAAGACCTCAACAAAATACTCAACTACCTGCCACAATTACAGAATCTGAATGAGGAGATTCTGGCGGACTTGGAAGCGCGCATCGCAGACTGGGAAACACATAAGAAGATATCTGACGTGATCGTACGCAAGGGCCCCTTCCTCAAGCTGTACTCGGCCTACATTAAGGAATTTGAGAACCAGTGTGAACATATCGACTATTGTTGTGACGCCTACCCCGCCTTCGGGAGAGCCCTCAAGCGATTTGAGGCGTCGAAGCGATGCAACAAGCTGCAAATTAAACACTACATGCTCAAGCCCGTGCAGAGGATCCCTCAGTATCGCCTGCTCTTCGAGGAGTACCTTAAGTGTCTGTCAGAGAGCAGCCCCGATTATGTTGACACCCAGACAGCGCTGGCGGTGGTGGCTAATGTGGCCGCCCATGCCAACGCCACAATGAAGCAGGGGGTGAGTAATTCAGATCTCTTGTGTTTTGTGGGTTAGAAAAAATTGTCGATGCTTTCGTGATTTCTCATATTATCAAGGAACAGTTCCTTGATAATGTGAGAAATCACGAAAGCGCTTGCAATAATATTATATTTCACTGTGGTTATATTGCATGCGGGAAGAGGAACTATTAAGAAAAAGAAAAATGACGTTATGCCCATAACAAATGAAAGTAGAAATTTGTGAAGTTAACCTGACTTCTTATATATACATAAACACAACTACCAGTGAAAAATGTTTAACAAACTCTAGTTTAGCACTGGAGAGGTCGATAGTACCTTCCTAGATAGTTGCTATGTTGACAGCTACCACCATCCTGTCATGAAAGGTCGACAGTACCTTCCTAGATAGTTAGTATGTTGACAGTTACTACCATCCTGTCATGATAAATGTTAACCACTGACAGAAACACTGGTATTTTTTTATTTATATGTTGACGGGTTGTTATCCAGGTGCCATTTGCGTGGATACAGTACGGGCAGGCCACTGTACACCTGCTTCCCATGTTTACTTAGCAGTAGATAGGTCCCTGGGTGTTAGTTGATTGTCGTGGGTCGTGTCTTAGAGGAGAGAACAAAAGGACCCCAGTCAAAATAAAGCTACACTGCTTGACTTGGGTTGTCCAGGGGTAAAAACCCTCCCGGGTAACTAAAAAATAAAATTTTGAAACGTCTGTGGTGATAAGACATTCATCCCCCGGAAACTGACTCATACAGTCACCGTGGGAAAATGTGCCACTGGTATATCATATACTACAAGTATCTATTGGACTCACGTATTTGTCTGGTCTCTTCTTGAAACCTTCATGAGTATTTTTGATGACACTAATGACGTCGTGCACGGGTGAAATTCACTCTTAAGGGGCACGTAAGTATCCCCGTCTTCTAATAACAGGTTCATTTTTCCACTATAATCTACCTTGTAAATAATTACTATCGTATTTGTCTTGTTTCGTAAGGTGAAGTCCAGGATCTTTCTTTACTTCATGGTAAAACTTAACAATTGTGTTGTAGAGACAATTGTGTTGTAGAGGTTTAAGCTTTTCTCAGATCTACAACACAATTGTCCTCGAAGATTTAAGTTATACCATGAAGAAAAAAAAAAGATCCTGGACTTCACCTTACGAAACAAAGCAAATGCGGTAGTAATTACGAACAAGATAGATTATAGTTGCAAAATTAATATTTTGTTAGATGACAGGGGTACTTAGGCGCCTTTTAATGATCCTGGTACATTATAAGGTGGGTAGTGAAGCAAACAACCCAGCCATCAGTCCAGAACATCCCACACAACACCAGTATTTACTGAGCTCAGAAGACAGTGATTACGAACATTTATCTTAGAACAGTTTGAGGGAACATTGTGGACACGCACTGACGTGGCCTCAACACACATTCACGGCGAGTCAAGCACATCATGTGCTGGCAGCATCACATACACTGCCTCCAACATCATGTGCTGGCAGCATCACATACACTGCCTCCAACATCATGTGCTGGCAGCATCACATACACTGCCTCCAACATCATGTGCTGGCAGCATCACATACACTGCCTCCAACATCATGTGCTGGCAGCATCACATACACTGCCTCCAACATCATGTGCTGGCAGCATCACATACACTGCCTCCAACGTCATGTGCTGGCAGCATCACATACACTGCCTCCAACATCATGTGCTGGCAGCATCACATACACTGCCTCCAACATCATGTGCTGGCAGCATCACATACACTGCCTCCAACATCATGTGCTGGCAGCATCACATACACTGCCTCCAACATCATGTGCTGGCAGCATCTCACATACACTGCCTCCAACATCATGTGCTGGCAGCATCACATACACTGCCTCCAACATCATGTGCTGGCAGCATCACATACACTGCCTCCAACATCATGTGCTGGCAGCATCACATACGCTGCCTCCAACATCATGTGCTGGCAGCATCACATACACTGCCTCCAACATCATGTGCTGGCAGCATCACATACGCTGCCTCCAACATCATGTGCTGGCAGCATCACATACACTGCCTCCAACATCATGTGCTGGCAGCATCACATACGCTGCCTCCAACATCATTGCTGGCAGCATCACATACACTGCCTCCAACATCATGTGCTGGCAGCATCACATACACTGCCTCCAACATCATGTGCTGGCAACATCACATACTGCCTAAAACATCATGTGCTGGCAGCATCACATACACTGCCTCCAACATCATGTGCTGGCAGCATCACATACACTGCCTCCAACATCATGTGCTGGGAGCATCACATACACTGCTCCAACATCATGTGCTGGCAGCATCACATACACTGCCTCCAACATCATGTGCTGGCAGCATCACATACAGCTGCCTCCAACATCATGTGCTGGCAGCATCACATACGCTACCTCCAACATCATGTGCTGGCAGCATCACATACACTGCCTCCAACATCATGTGCTGGCAGCATCACATACACTGCCTCCAACATCATGTGCTGGCAGCATCACATACACTGCCTCCAACATCATGTGCTGGCAGCATCACATACACTGCCTCCAACATCATGTGCTGGCAGCATCACATACACTGCCTCCAACATCATGTGCTGGCAGCATCACATACACTGCCTCCAACATCATGTGCTGGCAGCATCACATACGCTGCCTCCAACATCATGTGCTGGCAGCATCACATACGCTGCCTCCAACATCATGTGCTGGCAGCATCACATACGCTGCCTCCAACATCATGTGCTGGCAGCATCACATACACTGCCTCCAACATCATGTGCTGACAGCATCACATACACTGCCTCCAACATCATGTGCTGGCAGCATCACATACACTGCCTCCATCATGTGCTGGCAGCATCACATACACTGCCTCCAACATCATGTGCTGGCAGCATCACATACACTGCCTCCAACATCATGTGCTGGCAGCATCACATACACTGCCTCCAAATCATGTGCTGGCAGCATCACATACACTGCCTCCAACATCATGTGCTGGCAGCATCACATACACTGCCTCCAACATCATGTGCTGGCAGCATCACATACACTGCCTCCAACATCATGTGCTGGCAGCATCACATACATTGCCTCCAACATCATGTGCTGGCAGCATCACATACACTGCCTCCAACATCATGTGCTGGCAGCATCACATACACTGCCTCGATCATCATGTGCTGGCAGCATCACATACACTGCCTCCAACATCATGTGCTGGCAGCATCACATACACTGCCTCCAACATGTGCTGGCAGCATCACATACACTGCCTCCAAAATCATGTGCTGGCAGCATCACATACACTGCCTCCATCATGTGCTGGCAGTATCACATACACTGCCTCCAACATTAATATTTTGTATTATTTAAACAGAAAAACGTGGCGTTGGGTAATAAAATATTATTTGATCAGGTTAAGGTCAAATTTAATTCCCAGATAAGTAGGAGTAAATGGGATTTTAATTTCATTAAATATAAGCCTAAGTGATTACACGAGGATCATTAAGGTTACATGTCACCTGAGCACCAGCACGAGGATCATTAAGGTTACATGTCACCTGTGCACCAGCACGAGGATCATTAAGGTTACATGTCACCTGAGCACCAGCACGAGGATCATTAAGGTTACATGTCACCTGTGCACCAGCACGAGGATCATTAAGGTTACATGTCACCTGTGCACCAGCACGAGGATCATTAAGGTTACATGTCACCTGTGCACCAGCACGAGGATCATTAAGGTTACATGTCACCTGTGCACCAGCACGAGGATCATTAAGGTTACATGTCACCTGTGCACCAGCACGAGGATCATTAAGGTTACATGTCACCTGTGCACCAGCACGAGGATCATTAAGGTTACATGTCACCTGTGCACCAGCACGAGGATCATTAAGGTTACATGTCACCTGTGCACCAGCACGAGGATCATTAAGGTTACATGTCACCTGTGCACCAGCACGAGGATCATTAAGGTTACATGTCACCTGTGCACCAGTAAAATATTATTTAATTCAAAAGTAAATTCAGTGTATATATCAATGTTAGATTAAGACACTGCTAGAGTTGCTAGTGGTCATGTAACACTGCTAGAGTTGCTAGTGGTCATGTAACACTGCTAGAGTTGCTAGTGGTCATGTAACACTGCTAGAGTTGCTAGTGGTCATGTAACACTGCTAGAGTTGCTAGTGGTCATGTGACACTGCTAGAGTTGCTAGTGGTCATGTAACACTGCTAGAGTTGCTAGTGGTCATGTGACACTGCTAGAGTTGCTAGTGGTCATGTAACACTGCTAGAGTTGCTAGTGGTCATGTAACACTGCTAGAGTTGCTAGTGGTCATGTAACACTGCTAGAGTTGCTAGTGGTCATGTGACACTGCTAGAGTTGCTAGTGGTCATGTAACACTGCTAGAGTTGCTAGTGGTTTCATGTGACACTGCTAGAGTTGCTAGTGGTCATGTGACACTGCTAGAGTTGCTAGTGGTCATGTGACACTGCTAGAGTTGCTAGTGGTCATGTAACACTGCTAGAGTTGCTAGTGGTCATGTGACACTGCTAGAGTTGCTAGTGGTCATGTGACACTGCTAGAGTTGCTAGTGGTCATGTAACACTGCTAGAGTTGCTAGTGGTCTGTGACACTGCTAGAGTTGTAGTGGTATGTGACACTGCTAGAGTTGCTAGTGGTCATGAAAACACTGCTAGAGTTGCTAGTGGTCATGTGACACTGCTAGAGTTGCTAGTGGTCATGTGACACTGCTAGAGTTGCTGGTGGTCATGTGACACTGTTTAGAGTTGTAGTGGTCATGTAACACTGCTACAGTTGTTAGTGGTCATGTAACACTGCTAGAGTTGTAGTGGTCATGTGACATGCTAGAGTTGCTAGTGGTCATGTAACACTGCTAGAGTTGCTAGTGGTCATGTGACACTGCTAGAGTTGCTAGTGGTC